AASCGATCCAATCATTTTAAACTTCAGCAGAGGCCACGCCTCCAACAAGAATCACTTCTTTATAGCTGAGAGTCCAGACCTCGTATGAAGCAAAGCGAAGAACAAGGGTCTGCTTTTAACCAGGCTAGTCCTCCATACAACTGAACTAATAAAACTGAAATAAATTACAGGTTGAAATAAAATTAACTAAAATGTACTTTAGGTAAAACAAATCACATTTATAGTGTAATTATTTTAGGTGTAACTGAAAAACATGAACAACATCCTGAGAGAGAAAAATATTAAATAGTTTTGTTGAGCAAAAATGACACCTTGATTCCTTATTTCTTTGCATTTATATGTCAAATACCTGTCCATTATGCAAGCAGTGTCCAAACATTTTATTATTTTTTTATTCAGTCATACCTCTGTAATGGCACTGCACCACTGTTGTAGAATCCCACAAAATCTCACTGATTACCATCATGCATAATGTTATTTTCAAAGTTTGACTAAAACTGTTATAACTCTATGTTTTTCAAACTAAAACGATCTGTTTGAGACTTTGGCACAAAAGAGTGACATGTGGGTGACATGCAATCCTTTAAATGCTAGGCCTTCAGTAAATCTGCATAGAATACGCATCAGTAATAATTTTAATTTTGATGCTGTTACGGTTACTGTCTGAGACAATGTGCTCCTCAGCCTCGCTCCTGACGGTGACAAGTAATAACCCAGGCAGGACAGAGGGCGATTAATGCTTCAGAAGTTGATTAGAGTCACTCTGTTCAGGCCAATCACGCAGCTCTCRTGTCCACTGCTGCGGCAAAACACAACAATCCATCTCTGCTGCAGGTGAGGACACTACAGCACTATCATATCACAAGACACAGCTGGTTTGCAAYACTTCCTGCACCTCTGAGACCAAAACACAGACACGTTTTCACATTATTCCTTTATAAGTTTATGTTCACTGAATGTCTGCAGGTGCAGCGCATAAAAAATGAACTTGTTTCCTTTGGGTTTGACCTCTTCTCCACTGAGATCTCGAAAAAGAAAGAGACATCTGGACSTCATCAGGATCACATTATGTTCACACAAACACACTATTTGAATATCAGGACTGGAGTCAGAAAAAATGGGGGTAAAAATGGCTTGTGTTTTGATTGATATTCAGGCTGAGAGCAAATTCACCCAAGACAGGCAGGCTAAAAAAAGACAAGCTGATGAGTAAAACTGACCAGTTTTTTACAGATGAAGAACTGATCCTGCGAGTTATTTTGGTTTTGGAGAAAAGTAGCTTATCTGCTTCAATGAAAACCCTGGTGCACTGAGTGCTCATTCTCAGAAAAAGAATCAAAAGGTTAGCTGCCAGTCCATGAGATCTTTAATGTTTTACTCTCATCAAAAAGGACTTCAGCTGTTTAATCATTTTTACGGCACCCATTGTTCACCTCACCTGACTCYGACGCTGCAGGAGACAAAGGAGACGAGACTGGGATCTTACGTCTTCATTATTTTTATTGCTATCAAATAGGGCCTATTAATTACATGACTATAATAATGATCTTGTTTAAATTCCAATTTCAAAGTACATTTACTAAATGCCACAATAACTGTGCTGCTACCTGCCTGCAGCAGGAAGAAACCATGAATTTAAGTTATAGTTCTGTTTTTGGTTGAAAGAGAAGCAAGAAACTGCAAAATGAGTTTTTTTTAAACCAAAGTTTATGTGTAATAACCAGATTTTATGTTTAGCCATAATTCAAGTCTACATTTTTTTTAATCTGGCTTTTAAAAAAGTGTCTGCAGTATYAAGCGCAGCATTAATAACATAATGTATGCAGGCGGTGTTGCAGCACCAGTGAAAGACCTGAAGCTCGGCTGTGAATGCAGGTGCACTGCGATTACACAATAAAGTGGATGTCAGCAGTGTTTAGAGTGATTCCTGCTACACTCTGAAAGCACTTCCCGTCTGCTCGCTGAGCCACTTCTGACACATGCAGAATAGCAGCAGGACGGGAACACATCCATCCTGTTGTCTCCGTGCWGTAATGATGCAGATTAATACCAACCTGGAAGATTTCTAAAGAATTTTAGAAATGTGTCAAATCAGYTATACGGCCCAAAACTCCAACATAACTTTACAACAATTTGAAATGAGAAAAAAAAATCACTTCAAGAAACTGTATAAGAGGTTTAAAAAAGAACTAAGAGTTTTAAAAAGTTAATGCTGCTGCCAGTGGCTCATTATGATCAACATGGTAACCACACACCTGTTTCTCACTCCCTGCTACCAAATCAAAAGGCAGACAAAAACTCTGGTTGTCTCATAAATTATTTATGTTTCTAAAGAGTTTTGCATCATAGATTTGACGACTTGAAAGACTTTAATTCCAGGCTTGRAGAAAATATTTTGAGTTAAAACTGTGCTCCATGACTAACAGGGCTTCTGTCTCTGCTGCACCTCATCTGTGGGACCCCCGATCATCTGAGAACACCCCAGACGGTAACGCTTTCTTTTACAGTACCCTTATTACCATGTAATTACATGGTAATTAGGGTACAAAGAAAATCTACTGTTAGTAAAACTACCTTTATTGGGTAACTACAGTCAAATTACAATTCAATAGTAACTCAACACTATATWYATAACCAAAAGAATGCAACTAAATTTTGGGGTTAGTGATTAATTGCAATAAAATATAACTTTAAAACTGTCCAAATTACCTACTACTTATTTAGGTGTTACATAGTGAATTTTAATACATTACCAGGTAAGTGCTACATTACTGCAGACAATTAATTACATATTACCATGTAATTACATGGTAATAAGGTAGTAATTACTTTGAATTAAATTTTTATTACCTTGTAATTACATGGTAATAAGGTAGTAATTACTTTTAATTACATTTTTTATTACCTTGTAATTACATGGTAATAAGGTAGTAATTACTTTTAATTACATTTTATTACCTTGTAATTATAATAAGGTAATAATTACTTTTAATTACATTTTTATTACCTTGTAATTACATGGTAATAATGGTACCATAAAAGAAAGCGTTACCCCCTAGAATACAGAGACCTTCCAGAGATTTTACTGCTTAAACRTACTTTTAATTGTGTTGATTTTAGTTCATGCTTTTATTTTTGTACCACTTTGAATTTGTATTGCACTTTTTTCAATCTCAATCAATTATTTTATTATTATTAGGGCTGCAAGATATAAGAATATTACAATGATGATATCAGGTGATGCGTATACGTTTTTTTTTCTTTCCTCACTTTCTAATCTGTACTTCCTACTCTATGTGAGCAACATTTTTGGTGATGTCATTTATGTCTGGTGTGAGCTTCTGCTGCCGTGAGACTTCATCCTACTGGCTAAATAATGCATCAGCATGAAAAATAACCTTTAAAACTCTTCAAATACATTAGTCAACAATTATTGCACTCAGAGCAGTCCTTTGGGGTTTGAATATTGCGCACAGTGATACTGCAATTAAAATATATTTGGATATATTGTACCTCCCTATTTATTATTATTATTATTATTATTATTATTATTATTATTATTATTAAAACATAACTAAAGTGTATAGACGCCTGTGTGTGTACTCTACAATCTGGGTGGGATTTGAGAGAAAACCAAGTCCTACAGCAGTAGGACTTGGTTTTCCCAACAGAGAGACAAGCTGTGTGAAAGAAGACAAAAAAATGCTGATTTGATTTGTTTATAGAACGAGCTGTGGGAATGAGGAAAGTTTGTTTTACACAGATTAAAGCTTAGTGTGTGGCATCAACTGTCACTTAAACAGTTTGTGAAAAAGTCAGTATAAATCATGAAATGAATAAACGATAAAAACAAATGAAGACTTCAAAAAACACCAGTTGAGATAAGGTCCAACTTTCAGTGACGCCTCTAAACTCTACAATAGAAACTATGTCTGAGGACTCAGTTTTCTCATGTGCTTTTCCAAAATCTTACTGGTTTATTTCTATATGTTGCCATTTTTTACATATTGCTACAAATAGYATGGCACACTATGTTATAGGGATGTAACAATGCATTAATTCACATTGATTAAATGATTAATGAGTCAATCACATCCAGGCAAAACAAAAACATCAATCATCAAATGACTGATGTGCCACAACTCAGTGTTTGATGGGCGTATGATATTGCATCATATTTGCAGACTTGTGAATTCAACTGAATTGAAATCTAATGACAGACTTTGTGATATCGAGAAATATTGTATCACCATCCAAACAAAGCAATATATTATTGTATTGTATTGTATCATGATAAAGCTGGTGATTTATTATATTTACCAAAAGGAAAACACACCACTCTTTATCCAGCTGCACAATTTATAGTTTACRTAAATTGCTTTGTTTAAGCTGTACAACAAAATACAGGACAATGACATTAAACAGGATAATACAGTATTAATAAAGGCTCAGGTTAATTGAAGCAGACTTAATGTCATTATTTAGCTCACCCCGAGTTAGTACATGTCCTCCTACGGTCCTGTGTATCTGTTAGTCCTGTTTTTATAATCTGCTGACATGCTCCCATTCAGCAGAAAACACTCCTTTCAACCCTTTAACTTGGCAAAGCTGCAGAACAAACTTTGAGGCCTCCACATCTCTCAGGAGTGTAATTCTTTCAAAGAAGTTTTGATAAGAAGTAAATTACATAATTCTTTTTGGCAGATAGAAAATCCAGCTCCTAATTCCTTCCTTAGGTGTCTCGAGTTACACTACTCTTTGGCAACGAGCTGTGTGTACGTGTGTGTGTGTGTGTGTGTATGTGTGTGTGTGCTTTAGATTTCCTACCTGGTATGCTGTTGTAGAAAAATAAATAGCTGTCAACGTCTCCTTTGGGCTCCCGCCATGAAACAAGGAGTTTGCTGGGACTCTGCACTTTAAAACGCAGCCTCCGTGGAGCTGAAACTGAAGAACAAGGTTACTCTTAAATCAGATTCAATAAAGCAAAAAGCACAAATAACTTGATTTATGTCTAATGAAAGGAATTAGTGTTAAGTAAAAATTTCCCAGCCGTCAGTCAACACAATATAATTAAAATGTTAGCGAGGAAATAAAACCCCAGATGGTAAAAACTGCAGCAAAAAACAAACAGAAGTAACTCATTGAGGAAAAGGGAAAGGAAAGAAGAAATGAATAAATTTCAGGTTTGGACACATTTTAATGAAACTTTCAGAAAGTAATCGGCTGTACTGATAATTGATCAGCCTCAGGGGTAAACTTCAGTCAAAATGGGCACCGGAGCAAAGAAACTTTAACACAAATGGCTGTGATTTAACCTATTTTGAAGATATTAAGCAAAGATCTGGTGTTGCAGTAGCTGAGAATCATTAACTTATACAGTGGGTGCAAACAGATTAAGAAATATCTGTTTTTAAAACTTTGCCAACAAGTACTAGAGTCAACTCTGACAGCAAAATTTTGCATAAACCACTGGACAAATGTAAATAAAACTATCAACCATTAAGTTAATCAGTATGGTTACATCTAAAATTGAATAAATGGTGGTGTCAATCCAGTTCAAGATGACCTTAACAGCCGACTTTTATGTGTTAGTAGCTGAGAGTAATCCTAAACATGTAATCTCAGTGCTAATTAGGGCTGCGTGATATTGGAAAAACTGGCATTGCATTTTTTTCTAACCCTGCAATATGTATGAAAAACATAAGCGGAGCGGTTCTGCTGTAAAGACCGGAGTGAGATTCAGAGAAAATCAGTGGTACAACTGCCTACCATGAATTAGTCTGATAATATATTTGGGGCTGCCTTTAGATTTTTAACAATAATTTTTTTAGAAAAATATAGTCACCAACCACACTAACAATAGCCTATATCTTGTGCTCAAGTTCAGTAAACGTGTCAAATGAAGCTACATTGTGTTTCTGTCATGGGGCTACTTTAACTTAAGGGGGTAATGKGAATACACCAGTCATTTCCATGCACTCAGTGATTTACATGGTCTTGGCATTTGGCCCCATCAGCACCGTCCTCAGTGTCCACCTTCAGCTCAGGGCACTTGGCAAATGCTTTGCCTACCGTAATGCGACGGCTCTGGGAGTTGGAGCGCTAAGTTGCTAATGCTACATCCTAACTAGCCTGTTGCCACAATCTCCACTGGCTCTAAAATAAACAATGATTTGTGGGGGGAGCAATTGGACTGGCGGGTTGGCAGGCCTATATTATACTGGGGGAAAGCCTGCTGATGGTTTAATGTTTTAGTCCCTAGAAAACACATTGATGTAATTTGCCTCCTGCATCACAGGACATGCAGTGTGAATATTGCACACGTATATTACGATGACGATGCACAAATGATATGTCTTGCAGCTCTAGTGCTAATAGATCCTAAGATTATGAGATTATCTAAAACGTCATAGGTCTGATCAAAATGACAACAACTCAGTTATTTCTCATCATTACGCGATCTTAGTTGAAAGCCTGAGATTTGCGGGGTGATTTGTATTCCTTCATGAAATGCCAGGTCTTACATTTTAGATGTTATATTTACCTTAAACAAAAATCCATTTCTTGTAGAAACAATGAACTCTATAAACAAGTAGACATAAACATGGCACCGTGCAAAGATGCAGTGGTTGCGACCAATCCAGAGAAAAGTGTAAATTCTTGCTCACATCTGCTTTAGATATGATGGAGCTGTTGAAAAATTTTGAAATAATCTTGTGCAAAATACGGATGTTCTTCTGTGCGCTATGAAGGAGAAGCTGTTAAATGAGCTGCTAAAGAGGCAGCTGACCAGAGAAAATGATGAAGGAGGCTCAAAAAATAAAATGAGGCGCAGCGAGAGAATCTGAGCAAACAGGCAGAGATCCAGGCTCTGCTGAGAGCTAAACCACACAAAGGGGCTGTGTCACTTTTTCTGCCCGGTGTCCGTTCCTTGGAAAATAAGATGGATATTTTACAGCTGCAATTACACACGTCGCGCAGATTGTTGTGTGATTGTTTTGACTGAAACCTGGCGCTGCAGTGACATCTTTAACTCCACAATCCAGCTGGATGGACTAACATTCTTCCATGCAGACCGAGAGACAGAAAACTTTGGTAAAATCCAAAGTGGTGGACTTTGTGTCTATGTACTTATATATGATGGAGCAAMAGTAATTGTTTCAACTCACTGTCTGTGACTGAAATGTGGACCCTTTTACCTGCCATGAAATCAATAGCAATTCTGACGGCAGGTGTTTAAACTCCACCTAGCACAAACACACAGCAGACACTGGGCGAACTGTTCAGGGATTCTGAGCTTCAAATTGTGTTTCCTGGCAATTTAATCTGATTATATATTTTAATCATGTCAACGTAAAAGTCGCTTTGCTCAAATACAAACCGTTTACAATCATGTAGAAAAAAATACATACGGCGGGTAAAATAAGTATTGAACACGTCAACATTTTTCTCAGTAAATATATTACTAGAGGTGCTAATGACATGAAATTTTCACCAGATGTCGGTAACAACCCAAGTGATCCATACATTCAAAGAAATCAAACCATAAATGTCCAGAAATGAAGTTATTTGTAATAATGTGGAATGGCACAGGGAAAAAGTATTGAACACATGAAGAAAGGGAGGTGTAAAAAGGCATGGAAAGCCAAGACACCAGCTGAACTCTCTCAGTAATTAGAAAGCAAGCCTGCCCCTTGTCAGTGCAAGTTAATATCAGCTGGTTCAGTCCCAAATGATGGCCAGGTATCACACAAGAAACATCTGATTATGGGTAAAAGTAAAGAGCTCTCTCAAGACCTTCACAACCTTATTGTTGCAAAGCATAATGATGGCATCGGTTACAGAAGAATGTCTAAACTTCTGAAGGTTCCAGTGAGCACTGTTGGGGCCATAATTCAGAAGTGGAAAGAACATYATTTCACCATAAACCGACCACGACCAGGTGCTCCTCACAAGATTTCTGACAGAGGAGTGAAAAGAATTATCAGAAGAGTTGTCCAAGACCCAAGGACCACTTGTGGAGAGCTTCAGAAAGACCTGGAATTAGCAGGTACGATTGTTTCAAAGAAAACAATAAGTAATGCACTGAACCACCATGGCCTGTATGCACGCTCACCACGCAAGACTCCACTGCTGAAGAAACAGCATGTTGAAGCTCCTTTAAAGTTTGCTGCACAACGTTTAAACAAGCCTGTGTAATACTGGGAGAATATAGTCTGGTCAGATGAGACCAACATTGAACTGTTTGGATGCCAGAATACACATCATGTTTGGAGGTCAAATGGCACTGCACATCAGCCCCAAAACACCACACCAACAGTGAAGTTTGGAGRTGGGAACATCATGGTGTGGGGCTGTTTTTCAGCATATGGTACTGGCAAACTACAAATAATTGAAGGAAGGATGAGTGGAAAAATGTACAGAGACATTCTTGATAAAAATCTGCTTCCATCTACCAGGATGATGAAGATGAAACGTGGCTGGACATTTCAACAAGACAATGAGCCCAAACACAAAGCCAAGGAAACTCTCAGTTGGTTTCAGAGAAAGAAAACAAAGCTGCTGGAATGGCCCAGCCAATCACCTGACCTGAATCCAACAGAAAATCTATGGAAAGAACTAAAGATCAGAGTTCATAGAAGAGGTCCACGAAACCTTCAAGATTTGAAGACTGTTTGTGTGGAAGAATGGGCCAAAGTCACACCTGAGCAATGCATACCACTAGTTTCTCCATACAGGAGGCGTCTTGAAGCTGTCATTGACAACAAAGGCTTTTGTATAAAGTATTAGATAAATTTCAGTAAGTGTGTTCAATTCTTTTTCCCTGTGCCATTCCACGTTATTACAAATAACTTAATTTCTGGACATTTATGGTTTGATTTCTTTGTATGTATGGATCACTTGGGTTGTTACCGACATCAGGTGAAAATTTCATGTCATTAGCACCTCTAGTAATATATTTACTGAGAAAAATTGTTGACGTGTTCAATACTTATTTTACCCGCTGTACTACTCAGTTTTATAGATAAAGAGCTAAAATCTAATGTAGTAGTAGCTGAGAATCATTTCCAACACATACTATGAGTGAGAAATATGCATTATTTCAAAGAATATGTTTTTTTTTTTTTGTTATGTGTGTCCTCTGCAGCACAAAGAACATAATTAAGACACAGCCAGGCTATAAAATGCAAACAAATTGATTTGATAGACAATAACCTTCATGTTGATAGAATGCACCGACTGCCTTTGACTACATAAAGTGGTGATCAAAACCTTCATGAGCTGAGCAAATCAAAATGCACGACAGAGCGGTGAGGTTCATGGCTGGCAAAAAATGACTGCTTCTGAGTCATCAAGAAGACCAAGCTAATAAACTAAAGAAATAAATTACAACAAATTCAAAGATTCCAAAGACAAAATGTAAGTAGCAAGAAATTCAGACTATAACAGTCTAACAAGCAATATCACAAGTGGTTGGTCAATTGTGGCTTCTTCCTGGACAGATAACATTATTTTAATGGCACGTTTGTGACTTGGAATTATACCAGGGATAAAAAATAACAATTCTCTCTAAGGTGAGGTTATCTTCATCACATCAACTGTGCAAACTGAGCAAACTCATTCTACCTAAAGATACAGGACCTGGGAATACAGTATTAGAAGAAGGTGCTTCTAAGTCAGTCTTTGCTTTTACAAATACTTTTCTTTCCAGCAGATCATTGTATCAAGACAGCTTAAAACTGCTGACATCATCCAGATGCTTGACTCATAATCTGCCTCAGTGACCACCAGCCAGTGGCCGAGAACTCTGTCATAATGAACAACTATTGATCACACCAAAGCCAGCCTCTGTCTTTTTAGTCCCCACAGATTGCTGATTGCATCTTTTGCCGGTTGAAAGGAACAATTGCACAAGTCCTGAGCACAGTTTTGTCCAACATGGT